GGCACGGTTCGATTCCCAGTCAGGGCACATGCCTGCTGGGGTTGTGGGCTCAGTCCTCAGAGGAGGACGTGCAGGAGGTAGCTGATCAATGAATCTCTCTCATCATTGATGTTTCTCTCTCTCCCTCTCCCTTCCTCTCTAAAATCATTTTTTTAAAAAGGTAAGTAATGGGAAATTTTTAACAACTCTTCTGCAACTTTGGATGAAGGATGACATAATCTTAAAAATTGGCCTCAACATAAAATGCTCCGGAACAATTAATGTATCTTTAAGCAGCGTGGTTAGCAACAAATATTTCAAATTATTGTCCCATAAATATATACCCTTATGTAGAAGTAGTTTACCCGTGTTCTTTGGAGATTTGTCATTTCTAGAAATGTCTTAATATTTCTGTTAAGAAAAATTTTAAAAGTCAAATGAACACGCCATTTTTTCCACTAAGGTTTTCACAAAATATGTTTCAGAGTAAATGGAAAATACTGGCTCTTATACTTTAGATTTCTGTTTATAATGTGAATAACTCTATGTAAAGACTGTTTTATCACTTCTTTTCCTGGTGTGTTTTTCGTTTAGAGCTTAATATTTCCTGCTTCCACTCTGTCTGAAGCAAAATTGTAGGTGTTGTTTTTTCCTTTTTCTGCTTGAAGTCATTGCTATAGACACGACTTAAAAAATGTGACAAAAGGGCCCCAAACTTGACCAGAGTGTTCCTTCTTTAGCTGGTAATCATTTCATTTGTCATGGGCTCCTATGGGCTGTGCTCTTTTAAGGGCCACCTGACTCAGGACCTGCTGCCTCTTGGTACCCGAGGTGCAGAAAATAATAATATTTTAATCACCAGCAGAGAACAGTCACAGATCTGGCTTGCAGGGCCGATAACCGTCTTATCACATCCCGAGAAACGTAGCTCTGATATCTACAAGCCTCCATTACTCGGCAGCCCGTCCTCAAACAGGCCGACAATGGCAGGAGAATGAAGTGGAGTGTGCCAGCCTGCGTATCTACATAAAGGAGATTAGGGGCGACAGCATTCGCTTTTACAGCTCAATCATATTGTGTTAGCACGCGCTTATCCGAGCGCGGCCTGGAATTGAAAGAGAAATAAAAAAGAGGCAGACAGATAGGAAGCAGAAAAGCGAGGCGTGAGCAATTTCTAAGGATATAAAAGGATGCTAATGGCGGGGCCCTGTCATTCTTAAGAAGGGCTATTAGGGCACGGTCATCTGTTCTTGTGCCCTGATGCTCCTCTGGCGAAAGTCAAGCGTTTTCCAAAGCCCTCGTGATCTATCTCTCTCTCTCTCTCTCTCTCTCTCTCTCTCTCTCTCTCTCTCTCTCTACCTCTACCTCTACCTCTACCTCTATCTCTCTTTCTCTCCTTTAGATAAAGTAGGATCATGTTTCATAACACACATTTCCATTTATATGATTTATTTAAGTAAGACAACTAATTCTATTTACTGATTTTTTTTTTAAAGGCCCACTCCGTGTGTATTTTTCAGTGGGTGCTGTTACTTAATTCTTCACTTTTTTTTTTTTTCATGTAGCAAAAGAGTACATTCTCAGGGATGCAGGAAGACAGCTGGTCTTAACTTGGGTGTTAAACTTGGTCTTTAAGAAGTGTGTGTGTGCTGCTCTAGTTGGTGTGGCTCAGTGGGTTGAGCATTGCTCCGTGTACCCAGAGGTCTGCGGTTCAATTCCCTCTAGCACATGCCCAGATTTCTCAGAAGGAAGGCGGAGGTGTGGGTGGGTGGGGAGAGATTAATCAGGGAACAAAGATGCATAGATGCATAACCTATGGACAAAGACAATAGTGTGGTGAAGGTCTGGGGGTGGTGGTGGTGGTACAGAGTAGGGTGTCAATGGGGAAAAAAAGAACATCTGTAATACTTTCAACAATAAATATAAATCATATATTAAAAAAAGAGTTTCAGTTAATTCTTATTTTGCTAAACCCTTTCTGAAACACCAAGATACTCCTTGAAAGAACTATCCTATATATTTTTATTAATTTCAGAGAGGAAGGAAGAGGGAGAGATAGAAACATCAAATGATGATCCCTCTCTATGGGGGATCCAGCCCACAAACTGGGTCTGTGCCCTGACCTAGAATCAAACCATGACCTCCTGGTTCATAGGCTGATGCTCTACCACTGAGCCACATGTGCTGAGCTCCTGGCAATCATTTACAGCACCCTCCGGGTGTCACAAAAACAGGAGCTGTGAGTCACCACTCCACTGTGACTGGCTCTGGCAATTACTACAGAGAGAGAATAACATCAGTGCTCACCAATGCTAAGCCCCCATTTAAGACTGAACACATAATCGTATGGTAATTGTTTCCACCACTGCAATTGCTGTTACTCATAGTTATTTAAAGTTACTGTCTTCCTCAGTCCCCGGAGCCCCTCCATGGGGACAAGTTCCTGTGTAAGCTGGCATTTCTACTTCGATGCATGACTGGTCCCACAGAAGGTCCTTATCATGGAATGTCTGTATCATACCCAACTATTGGCTTAGCACCTCCCTGACACCAGAAAGAATTGGAGAGAATTCTCTGAAACATGGTGGTTTACAGCCATGGTGACATAACCTTTCATGCTAGTAATAGTATCATCGTTATTATTTTGAAACTAGAGGCCACGTGCACAAAATCGTGCACTTGGAGGAGGGGGTCCCTCAGCCCAGACTGTGCCTTCTGACAGTCCATGACCCGTTGGGGGATGTCCGCCTACTGGGGATCGGGCCTAAGCCAGCAGTCAGACATCCCTCTCACAGTCTGAGACCTCTTGCTTCTTACCACCTACCTACAGCTGAGGTGGAAGAGGCTCCTGCCACTGCTGCTGCACTTAAGCCTGGCTTCTGGATGAGTGGTTTTCCCCTGTGGGAATGCACTGACCACGAGGGGGCAGCTCCTGTGTTTAGATTCTGCCCCTTGTGGTCAGTGCACATCAGAGCAACCAGTCGTTCTGCTGTTTGGTAGATTTGCATATTAGGATTTTATTATATAAGATAGTTCTTTCAAACGCAACCAACCAGGACACCAAAATACCCTGCAGGAAGCAATGCTGAATGTAAGCTTTAAGGCACAGGGTATATTTGCAAAGTGTGTACTTGTTTTCCCCTCTCTCAGTCCCAGATCTCCCTGTCTGTGAATTAAGGGTGATAATAACCAATTAATGGGATGGAACAATGGTTCTCAGTTGGGGACAGCTCAACTTTGCTCCCCAGAGGACACAGGCAGTGATAGTTTCAACATGTAAGTATATATGTGTACGTATAAAATGATAGAATATATAAATATAAATGAATTTAAGACCAAGACTAGTGTTAAATTATACACACACACTAGAGGCCTGGTGCATGAAATTTGTGCACTGGGGGGGTGTCCATCCCTCAGCCCAGCTTGCACCCTCTCCAATCTGAGACCTCTCAGGGGATGTCTGACTGATTTCCAGTTGGTCAAGCCTCTGGTCATGACGGACCCAGGGTTTTTATATATTAAAATTAATAATCTAAAAAACTATCCATGGATACTTCACCAAATGTTATTCTTATATCTTTTGGCTCTAAAACCCTTCCTAATACTTTCCTTCTGGGTAAGTTTATATTTATAATTCAAGCAAATTCTGACTGTTGCCACTGCTACCATTCCCAAATGTCTTAATATATCTATATATAAATTTTTTTTTGCTTTTCCTATAAATCATATGACAATCCTGATACAATGCCACCTATCTATATGATCCAATTCTCACACTTTTTGTATGCGCAGGGACCCCTGTGTAGGCATTGTCTGCAGAACACACTCCAGCTCACCTATTTAACTAGTTTTGACTTAATTCGGGGTGCTTTATTAGCAAACAGTGTAAGACAGAGTGGCCGGTATAATACAGAGTGATGTTTAAATTAGTTTACAATTTGCTTGGCCTCATCGAGAACAGCCCCGAACAAAGCCATTCAGAAACGTCAGCTGTGTCGCTAACCACTGTAACAAATTGTCGCCTGAGCACTGCACACCTAATGACTTCAAATTAGCTTCCCTGCGATACTGCCTGACAGTTCGTTACGACTGTTAGCGACATAGCTGGCGTATCATGACCAATAAATTGGTTTCAGTGTGGGCTGGGAAAGGGACTTCCATCAATTTGATTAAAGAAATTACTGTAGCATTCAAAGCATAAAGACAAACTAGTTTAAGGAGACAGAAATAAGTTAACTGTAACCAGGAAAGCCTGGCTCAACACTGAAAAACTTCCTTGTAAGCCATTTGAAGATCAACAGTCAAGCAAACAAACAAACAAAAAATTCTAGATGACTAGACTTCTCAGAATCTGTGGCTGGGCATAGGTTTGCTATGACAGGATGGGTCAAGAAAGAAAAGAAAGAGGCTATTTTAAAAGACTACTTTGAAGTTACCATAGGAGAAAATTTCCAATGTCAATGTAACATTTCCTTTCATTAATTTCTGTATAAATTCATGGTGAACAACTCATTGTAAACCAAAGCAAAGCTTGTGAATATGAATAGTATATGAATAAACAGTATAAATAGCCGCCATGAACAACAAAATGAATTATTCTTAAAAAGAAGGAAACACATTTACATTAGATGACTGGTGACAAAAATACCTCTTCCCATGAAAATAAAAGCAGAAGCATTTCCTTATGAGAAAGCTCAGAATTTTAAAAGAAATAAAGAACTGCATTGTTGTTGTTTTTTTTTTTTAAATTTATATTGTCTTTATCTTACACTGGCAATAGTACATCCATATAGGAAAACATAATTAACAAGAGTTCAAGTTGGTGCGGATAGAAAAAGGTTTAGGATTCTATGGAGATCAGCAAAGCTTTAAATTAAATATAATTTTAAAAAGGTAAATGTTATTTAAAAAAAAAAAATTCCAAAGAGAAAATGTAGAATTTGCCCAAATGTACATATACCACCTGCAGGATGAACTACAATATTTTTAACTTTTTTTTTTTTTTGTAAATGAGAATGTACCTGGAATATGCTTGGCCCATCCAATGATCACCACCAGCTCTCGGTCGGCCAAGTCGCACAGCGTGGTGAGGGCTTTGATGTCGCTGTCGGGGACGGTGGGGTCAGGCATGGCATAGATCTTCTCCGGTTCGGCCACCAACAAATGGGAAACAATCTTGTTATCTGCGGGATCAGACCAGAGCACTGCGAGATCACTAGTGGCATCATCCTTCTTTGACAACCCTCAGAGCATGTTGGGTTTTGAACAGAATTCAAATCGCCTACAAGAAACCCAATGTATTCTACTTAGGGTTCCCTATACACACATTCACCAGCATTGGGAACACACGTAGCGAGACAGAGAGGCTGAGGACCTAGCAGGTATATTCCCGTCTTCGTCTTCTCCTCGGCTCTACCTGCCTCTGCTGGAATGCAGCCTCTCTCTGGAACGGAAACGTTTGTAGCAAACAGGTAAGAGAAGTTAGATGCTCTCTGGGTTTAAGTCTTAAGAGGGATTTGGGGGAGCAGGTTAAGTAGTAGACAACAGCTTTCAGATAAAAACTCACAGTCAAGCACTGAAATCTGGAATATAATGTGGAAGGCGAAGAACTACTAATGCCCAAAGTCATCACGGTTTGAAAGTCCTTAATGGTCTGAATTCCTCTAAAGAAAAGCAATGGTCAGAGCCCTCCTGCTTGGGTGAACTAGCGACTCAATAACTCTATCTCTGTGGGACGCACTAAATAGAGACTTTTTTTTCCTTCCCCCTCTCCCTGCATGCTAGCCAATGTCCTCAATACAGACAATATCCGTTTCCAGAAAAATATTCCTATTTAAATGGCACAATGTGTTCTCCGTGAAGTGACTAATTCTTCAATCCTCTATTTTCATCTGTTGTGTTTAGTTCATTTTCTGGTTCACAGTTATCTGTCTGAAATTTATGATTTATCTTTTTAAAAACCTTCATAAAATAAACACTGGAGACAAATGAAAAGCATCGCATCAAATGTGTTTTATTGCCCGGGGCACGTGTGGGTTTATGGAGGAGCTGTAAAGGCTCCGAATGGAATGGCTTTTTCTGCATGGCCCCATTTTCCACGTGTGTGCCAAGCTTTAGATTTTTGTACTTTCCGCTAAGTGGGGACATGGAAATGGGTAAGAATAAATATTTCCATGTTCTATGTACTATACCCCTCTGGAAAAAAATAGGGCGTTAAGTGAGATTTTTGTGAGCCACGCTAAAGTTTCCTCTCTGTTTACTATGCCATTTTCCTTTCACTATAACTTTTCAACCCTAATTGAAATACTTCCTATTCACTTGAATTGAAAACATAACATTCTTTGAATGGCCTTTAACATGATAACAAGGAGACTCATCCAAACTACAATGTATTTTTATAAAATAAAGTATTTTTTCCTGAGGTATCTTAAAATGTTATTATTACTGCTCCCCTAGGAATTGCATGCATTGCCAATCATCAACAGATAACCATTCATTGGCAGTGATATTCAATTAACAGGAAACTGCAGATTTGGGAGAAAATATCCCTAAATGCCATAGTTTCTGGTAAACATTAAAGTTAAATAGAGAGACTTTGTATTTTTATTTTATTATTATTAGTATTGTTTTACTTTGCAGGATCTGCAGAGAATGGCATTGGTTTCCTGCATGTGTTCGAGAAACAACACCTTATAGTTTTAGTTTCGCTCTGAAAATCAACAAAGCATGTGAGCAACCACTGGATTCCCATTCCAGAGGAAAGTGCAGTGATAACAGGAAACCCTGAAATTCCAGTTCTTATTTATCACAGGAAACATGCTACCTGTTTCGGCCACGCCCACAGGCACTTGACTTGGGGTCAGAAAAATGGGGTGGCAGCTTGAAAATGCCCATCGTTCAGAAGACGGAATAGCCCGCGGCACTGCTTCTAGGTAAATCTTAGTTAATGTTTCCCTAATTAGAATCAATAGAACCCAATTTCCACTCTGGGGCTTTAGCTCTACCCAATCAGTCAGGTTCCAGAAATCTCCCCAGCCGCTTTCCGCCAAGGGCCCGAGGACCATCTCTGGACACTTATCCGACAGGATCTGAAAATTAAGTTTTATAAATGTTTGTTACCAAAACACGCTAATTGGATGGACTCAGGAAAATTAACTCAGAGGCCTTGAGATAATGAGTAATGATTTATTAGGAACCCTTTTTATCTCCCATGAATGCAGCTCACTGAAATTGCTGTAATCTCCTTACAGGTACTTGACATGTCACTTCCCAATTCCTCTGGTTTACATCTCAAACCATAGACATTCCTTTATCAAGGGCCGGTGTGCATTTTTCTCTCCAGAGAGGAAATTATCAATGGTTTTGGTCAATGTTTGCATAAAATGAATGAGAAATGGGCACTCTGTGTATTACCGAATCCAGGCAAACTAAGCCTCTGATGAAATTAAGCATTAGTGTTTATTGCACTTTATTGTATTATCAGAAAGTTTTTTTTTCTATATAATAATGTGCAAAATCTGCTTAATGTAGTCCGGGATTGTACTTGCAGAATGCCAAAGAGTTTATGCAGGCTGCGGAGGAGATGATGCCAGATTGGACAATTGAAGGTATAATCAACATAATGTTTTTTGGAAAGGCAAAAGGAAACTATGCCATATGTTCACTTAAGCTTTAATTTTATGTAAAACTGGTTGTTTCCCCTTTGACATAGCTGAAATGTCCTTTCGTTTACAGTTCAGGGTCTGTTTTATTTATTTAACCCATCCCCATATGCTCACTGTACGGTGCGCAGCAGCGACCCCTCCTGGAGAGTCAGGCGCTTTTTTCCTCTTCTCTTGAAAGCAGATAACAACAAAACACCCGTGCCTCTTCTGGAACCGCTGTCAGTGTGAGTGAGTGCTGGGTGTGTCACCGGAGACAAAGACAGCTGAATGCGAGCACTCTCTCCACTAAGTCTTCTCAGTGGCTGATCTGAACTCTTTGCACAACCCCCCCTAAAATGCTAGGGCTGTTGCACAGCAGCTGTGAACTGATTTTTTCAGCAAATGGGATACAGCTATTGCCTCAATCTATATTCCAGCTCTTTTACTTAATGGCAAAGAGAATGGGGCTTGCATTTGAGCGCCGTACCACCGCCTCTTCCGATGGCAACCTGGCATTAGGAAACCACGGGCTCTTAAAAAACAATTCACGATGCCCGTAAGGACACCTGAGACGGAACCATCAACCTATGCTTGTTATTAGCGGGGCCCATTCTTGTTTTAATCTATTGCTAGCTAGTGTGTTAACCTTCTCTAGCTGCAAATTAATGAGGCTCCTAATGTATTTTCAGGGGGAGGTTGAGCAGTCAAACTCATTTAGTTAGCGAAAACTACAAAAATCACTTTCTTGTGAAATCTGAAACGAACAGCTCCAATGAACTAATGATCACAGTGTGATCCGTTTGATGTACCTCTGAAAATAAAAGGAGCCGGTAAATGTAAAACCCGCACTATATAAGCAATGCCTTAATGTGCTTCTGCTCCCACAAAATGACTAGGTGAATAAAGGGAGGGACGAGAGAAGCCAGAGAAAAGAAAAAGACTGTGAGTCGAGTTGCTGTTGCCCCCTCAAAGGCAATCCCTGGGATGAGAGCCATGGCCCCCCAACAAAGATAAGCCTCCTTGAAGTCCGTCTGGATGGGCATGCCAAAGTGATATGTAGAGCCAACAGGGAGTGGGGCACGTGGGAGGGGGGATTCCGAGGGCTGGGCAACCAGACATGTCTGCGGTACTTACATGGCTTTTTGGCTGGCTGAACCAGCTGGGGGTTCAGGTAGGGGCTGTTCTCCGCATCTATTCTGCGCTTGTACTTCTGCCGGCCTCCACGTACTCTGTCAAGACGCACTCCTGTGGGCAAAGACAGTCACATGTTTACTATGGCGGTAGATCTCTTCAAAAACGAATTCACTGCATAGAGGGCATCGCCCATGGGTGCTGGGAAATGGACAATTGATTCAGAATGGTCAAGGGGCATGAGAGGGATGTAAAAAGAGTGGTGGCTATGCCAAGATTACCAGGGATTGGAAACCAAATCGAGGAGAGGATAATGAACTGGATAGACATCATTTTATGCAAGACCGTCAAAGTGACATGTATACCTCAAAGAAAAGGCGTGTTTCATGTGAATTAATACAAAGAAAGTGTTTCTCAAATTAAAGACAGGACCATTTGTATCCTCTATGTCAGTTTCCCCTGAAAGCTCTATATGTAGGATCAGGTAGACCAGTCGGCCAGCTACCCAACCCTGTGGTAACCTGTATGTAAAGACCCTGAGAAATGAATTGCATTGAAAGTATCTCTATGCCAAGGAGATGAAATGCAAGGATTGTTCCATATTATCCTTTCCCATATTAACATGTTTCGGAAGGAGAATGTTATTTACATTTTGGGATCTGTATTTTCCTTCAAAAGAGAGAAAGCTGGGAGTTGGTTTTGACTGAACCAACAGGATAGGAAGAGGAGCTTCCTGAAATAATCCAGAAGAGGGTGTCAAAGAAGGGGTAAGCTCGCAGGGCACAGCTGGAGGGGGAAGTGAGGAAGAAGGCAAAAGTAAATGGGCTTTTGTAAAACCTTCTCCCAAAGAGCAATGGGTTGGGTCAAGATGCAGGGAGTTTTGCTGGCAGTGAGTTTAAGAGATCAAGAGCAAAAAAGAAAGGAAAGGAATAAAAAATAATGTTTTATTTATGAGAAAGGGGCGGGGAAGAGCTTGTTAATAACCTGGATTCCAGTGTGACTGTAAAGTTTAGAACAGGACATTACATAACCATTGTAAAACAAAGACAAGTTCACTTGGGAGTGAGAGCGAGGAGAGAGCCTCTTTTTTTGGTAGTAGGTTGTATCTTAAACCGTGTAATATCCTCCATTAATAAATTCAACCAAGAAATGCATCACACATAGTTTGGCATATTTCAAACTGAGTACAAAATAGATTTGGTTTAATAGCATCATTAGTTTTATTATTTTACTGAAGGGCCTCTGAGAGCCTTGAATAAGCACGCAGCCTCGGCAAAACTCTCAGAGGAAGATACAGGTTAGGCAGTGCTTTTGCAAACCAATCTAAGGGTCCAGTTTGGGGAATATTATTAATACCACGTGACATATGAGTTGTGGATTACCTGAGATGCAGGAAACAGTTTGAAAAAGGCTGATAAATCTCTAAGTGAATTCCAAAGGTCCGTAATATATACACAAATGGTAAGGATTATTAGTGATCCATAAAATAAAGAAACACAAATGTTTATATTATCTTAATAATAAATACTACTTTGAAAGTTGATGGTCCTTTAGTGAAACTCACATACACTGGTTTCTGGACAAAGCCTGAAATGCCATATTGAAACATCAGAGCAAAATTGAACTAAAATCAGTAGACAACTTCAAGAGCAATTAAGCAGGTTTAGACAAATAAATATCAAAAACAAAGAAATTGGGTACACTACATATTTGCTGAAAATAATAGTGAATGCCACAAAAAAAGCTATATGCCATGGCATCATAAATTATCCCTAAATAGTATATGAACACTATGTTTTTTTTAAAAAAAGCATAATTTGCAAATAAGAATGGTTGACTTGTTTTTTAAGTATTTTGTTAACTAGCTCTGTAAACTTCAATGAGTTCCTTAACTTATTCCCTTTTACACATATAAGATGGATGAAAAGACAATATTCTCTCCAAAGTTTTGTTGTGATGATCTAATGTTTATCCTATATAATAAAAACCAACAGTGGAACTTCCAGAACAATGGGTCGACCAGTCGCTATGATGCGCACTGACCACTAGGGGGCAGATGCTCAATGCAGTAGCTGCCCTCTGGTGGTCAGTACGTTCCCACAGTGGGAGTACTGCTTGACAGACCATGATAAGCAGCACTTCCATAGCAAGCTGTGTCCACAGGTCATGCCCCCACCACCGGTGCACAGGGGCCCCTAGTATTAATATATTAATGCAATTGGATAGTACACAAATGTAATACTAAAATATTTTATAAACTTTAAAATTCCAAGAAAAATAAAGTCACTATCTTATAATTTTGTTGAAACATTGCTATATTATTTTATTTAAAGATATGTTACATCATGCTTATTTATTGAAAATCCATTCCCATGGCATTTGACATTCTATCCTGCTTCAGTACTGTATGTAAACAGATTTGAGGTATGATGAAGTGATAAGATAATTCAAAAAACACAAGACAAATAATGATACTATATGATGCCTAAGTGACTAATAGAATTATTTGGTATCCCATTCTATTTACTGTTCACTCCTGTCACGAATATCATTTATGCATGTGATTATTTTAGAATAGACAGAGAAATGAACCCAAATTCCATAAAAAAAGAATGTTTTTCCTGATTTTGCTTTAAGCCTGCAATACAAATTTGAGAAGAGAACTGATAATTATCCAATTAACATGATACATGTAAAAGCCTCAAACTATTTTAGCAGAAACAAATAAGCAAACAAAATAACAACATTTACAATCAGGACCTGAGAAATCCAGATTTTCCCTAAACAAACACCAGCCTAATCCAAACATTTCCATGAAAGGGAAATTTCACATCTTTTCACCTCTTGACAATCTTAAACACAAACAATTTCTGTTTCGATGTCATTTGTAAGCCAGTTTGGAAAAACGTTTAAAAATAAGATTTCTCTGAGGAAATAAGATAGCCACTGTATCCAATATATGACAGGATTTGAAGTTAATTAAGGCATCTGGATTTTCCATTCAGGTGGAGACTGCCCTTATCTTTTTTTTATATAAAATATTTTAATAGTTGGCATTACCTACAAATAGAGCATTTCCTCCCACATGGCTGCCTCTCTCAAATACTGCGTGAGCCTACGTGGCCACAAGGGAATTGCAAATCTCACACACTGTCAGAATTTACAAAATTGGGAACGCAAGACTAGGGCAAGGAGGGGGAAAAAATATGCTGGGAGGCAAATAAACTCCAAGATACGTAAAGCAGTTCAGCACCAGGGCTTCTAAGTCAGCTAATTTTAAGTCTGCACTTTATGCCCAAATGCAAATTCTTATATGATGTAGTCCAAAGTCAAAAGTATTGTTCGCATTTTTAACAGGGTAGAGTCTGAGGCATGTCACCGAACAGCAAAAGACCTTCCCTGCCGAGAATTACCCAGGCTACCCTAACCTACTTTTCCAAATTAAAAACACGCCTTAGATACTGTTCGCAAACAAGGTTTGCTATACACATGAATTGCAAAGACAACTCCTTCCCTGGAATACTTAAGAAAGATGCAAAGAGTCACATTAAAGTAAAGATACTTTTAAAAAAAAGGTAATGAAGTGAATGACTACTAAATTTAGAGTTGTATTAAATAAATGACCCCCACCACCACGAGTGCATGAATTTTCTGCACCGGCTCAGTGGTTGAGCATCAACCTATGAACCAGAAGGTCACGGTTTGATTCCCAGTCAGGGCACATGCCTGGGTTACGGGCTCACCCAAATATTGGGTGAAACTCTCTTTTTAATAACTGATCACAATACAGTCAGTTCCAAAATAAATGCAGGAGGCAGCTGATCAATGATTCTCCCTCATCATTAATATTTCTATCTCTCCCTTCCTCTTTGATGTCAATAAAAATATTTTTTTTTTAAAAAGGAATTTGAAATAACCACAGACAAAGTGCTTTGCAGGGGGCATACTGTTGCATCAGGGGTAAAAGTACTCCATAGGAAGCACAGAGCCCTAATCTGTGACACATAGGCGTACAAATTAGGTCATTGCAACAGGTGACACGTTTTAATTGAATGTCTTCTGTCTTTGATTCTGACAAAAGGTGAATGGAAATAAATGAGTCTGGCAAGACGGCCCTGAGCCTTACAATAGCCAATATCTCATTATTTTTAAACAGCTATCTATAAACTGATGCTGACAAGCCCTGAGCCTTTTATTTCTGCTCAAGATGAGGTGGCTGTGAAGAGGTAGGAAGGGAGGGGGGGAGAGAAAGGAAAAGGGGCACTCAGAACATCACATTAAACATGCAATACCGACCACTATTGCTTCCCGATGTAATTAAAGGAAATCTCCAATTCGAAGGGAACTATTTCTTACTTTGTGTGATGTCAGGAAGAATGAGAGAGAGCATGCTTGGCCTGCATTTGCTAAACATAGTTTAAAAAAAGGAAAATAAAAGAAAGTATTTTTTTTCCTTCTTTTTTCCTATTAAATATTCCAGAAACTGCCTGGCTGTGTGGCTCAGTGGTTGAGTGTCGTTGACCTATGAACCAGGAAGTCACAGTTGGATTCCCAGTCAGGGCTCATGCCTGGGTTTGTGGACTTGATCCCCAGTGTGGGGCATGCGGGAGGCTGCCAATCAATGATGTTTCTCTCTCATTGATGTTTCTATCTCCCTTTCCCTCTCCCTTTCTCTCTGAAATCAATAGAAATATATTTTAAAATAATTATAATAAACGTTGGGGAAATGCATACTCCCGGGGCCAAAAAGAAAGCTGTGCAATAAAGTGCTGAATCTGGTGTAGTCCACAGTCCATGCATTTCTTCTTAAATTAGGATGTGCAAAGAGTGTGTGAAAGAGCACAGAGAACACTAGTGATATTTCCAGATGCCAAATATGCCGGGTCTCATGGTTGGAAAGCCTGCACTTGAACCAGGTCCTGAACTTTCTGGTATACTTCCCTGTGTGTTTGAAAGGCAATCTGGGTTAAAACCAAACTTCAAGATATTTTATTTATTGTACATATTCATATTAATTCAACAAAAAAATTTGAGGGTTGAGGGTATGGTGAGAAAAGATACTTTAGTTGAAACAGCTTCCAAAGATTAAAATTCAGCCAAATGAATTTGGTGTA